GTAACGGTGACAGAAATTTTAAATTAATGAGAGTATGAAATAAGTTGTCTGCAAACGAATGCGACATAAATTTATCAGGTCGAGAAGTATATTTTACGGAAATGACACAAACACAAAAAAGTTATCGAAATTAACTAACATTGGCTTAAGGGACGTGTGCCAGTTTATAGAAGAGAGTATAGGTAGGCATTTATAGGAGAAAGAAAGGCATTATGACACAATTGAAAACCCAACACCTGAAAGAAATAAACCCAGCGTGCAAGCACGCGGTTAGTAAATCGAATGCAGCGGTCATCATTCTTATACATCTAAGAAATGGAAACCACCTCAGCTGTTGTGTCTCAATACAAAAGAAAACAACCCGAAACAGTGGCACGATGGCTGAACCACCAGTGACGGCTGGACATGGTTCCGCAGACAACAACAGCAGCAGTAGCAACAACAGTACATCAGCCACTTGAACTGATGCTTTGCCGCCATTCCATCATGATAACCTATTGAAAACCCTAACGCCCTAAGCAAACATTCAGGGTCATGATGCCTACACCTTGTGTTAACATACCATCACAAACAGCTGGCTATTGTACAAACCTGTGGTGGCATCGGCGATACAGCTTCCGTGTGGCTTTCACTGTCGCGCGTCTTAATCAGCTATTACCCCGCAAATAACTCAGCACCAAACACACTTTAAACAGGCAATCCGATTAGGAGACGGTGGCAGACGCGCCACTGGTCTTGGTTGCGAGCCATGTCCTGTAAAGTCTTGAGCCTAGGACAAGGGGTGTCACGTTGACTACAGCCTGGAAGGCGAGGCGGACCAACGGCTCCGAGACCACAATGCTGTGCAGACTGCGATGATCGAAGACATGGAGACGTCTCAGATCTTCAGACGGCAGAGGTCAAGTCTAACTCCTATAGAGCAGGATGGTCCTTACTGTGGCCTTGTAAACACGGCCTTTCAGACTGGGGGAAACCCTTTTCTGTCACCAAAGATGTCGCAAATTCAAATAGACAGTTCTGGTTTACAATGTGTGAACTGACTTCGGTTTATATGCACCCATCGTTGCTGATGCTGCTGTCAAGGTAAGTGAATTGATCAACCACGTCGAATTCCTCGCTAACTAGGTTTAAGGGAGCATGAAGGGGCTGGTTGCCCTGTAGCACCACTTTGTGCTTTGAAGGTGCGAAACGCATACAAAATAATGGGACAACTGGGGAGGCTATTCTGGACTAATGAAAAACGGATACCTATTAGCCTCACGTGACGTCGACGTTTTGAACGAGCCAGCCAGTCGCACCGCACATAACCGGCTACTGACTGGGATCCGGTCAACCAGAGCAGCTTCGGCCCGGGGACTCAGGGCAACGCCAATACCGGTTTGGCCAACACACGAGGCTGCGTCGTCTCCGGATAGGCACACTGGAAAAGAACTGCCAGTGTCGCTTTAAGGGGGTCGCAAAGCGAGCACAGAGCTCGAGCTTTGTAGGCGGGTTTCCAATAAGCAGTAGACGTCGATCGAGAGTGTCTCTAATGTTCGGGCAAGTTCTGCCTGTTGACCGATTTGTAGCAATGTGCGTACATTGTAGCATGCCTGTCTGATGGAGGATCGAGGGCTCCAAATGGAAGCCGATGTGCTGGGCTTGACTGCTTGGTTGGACATGAGCTTATCGACAGGGCAGGAATGACACACCGCGTACACATGTGAGTTGAAACTATAAGGTAAAAGCTTATCAAAGTAAGGTGGTTAGGGCCAAGAATTGGGGGTTGAAAACAGGGGGGGGGGGGGAAAGTGAAGCTGGAACGGGACGGTAGGGGTGAAAAAGCGTAAGAGGGGGAATAAGAAGACGAGAGTGCTTGAGCAATAGCATCCAAACCCTTATCCACCTACGCGATGCAGCAGATAGGGCGCTGGTTATTATCCTCTGCGGACACCGGGCATCAAGAAACTGTTTGAGGAAAGGTCCACATTATTGCGTTGACAGGATACTGCCAGGTTGCCCAGGCCTAGACAGGAGAACGATGGTTCTCAACCAAAGCCTTTAGTTCAAAAACCTGACTGCAACGCAGCGGATTTGACAGTGGACTACAAGGGCCACCCTTACTCCAATCCCCAACCTGAATTACCAGGAGACTGAGTTTGTCTGGACTCTAACCACTGACCAATTTGGTATGAGCGGCTCTGAAGGTGCAAAAAGCACCAATCAGCATAGCTCATTGGATCGCTGAGTCACGCAAACCTTCGCACGACGCTGAGGTCGAGCCTCCTTGTGATGGCCTGCCGGTAGTATCTATTCGCTGGGGTTGTGCTCGTGTCACCTGTTTGCGAGCGGTATGTAAGGAGCAGACACTTCCGTGAGTTGACTTCAATTTATGCCAGGCTACATGAACCGTATCAGCCATCGAGATCCCGCAACGCAAATCTGAAGTCATGGTTCGCGTTCTTTGCTAGTTCGCACGCCATATGTTTGGATATGGCGCAACAATGCTCTGGTTGCGTCTGGAAATGGGCACGGCAGGAGAATAAATAAACACAATCACTGGCACCTTAAGAAGAGCCGTAAGCAATGTCACATACGAAGTCGAGTGACTTGGCAAAAACTAGATCCAAAATAGAGGGCACATGTACGTCCATGCACCTAGCGGGCAGCTCCACGAACTGGTGCAATGAAACATGTATCGAAAGCTAAAGGATATCTGCATCGAAAGTACGCAACGCAGAGCTGCAGGAAAGACCAGCCCTGCAAACCTTTGAGAGATTGAAGTCGCCCTGCACCACCTGTTTGCAGTCCAAGAGTGGATAAAGTCGAACGCTTCTTTATATGCACTACCAGTCTTTATATATATATATATATATATATATATATATATATATATATATATATATATATATATATATATATATATATATATATATATATATATATATATATAATTTCGCTTTCTAGCGGAAGAAATTTTGACCTGCATTATTCTACGTTTGATTTCATGGTGAAGTTGGTTTCTTTGTCTTTTAGCTACCTCAAAACGGTCATTTCTAATTAAATTATAGTTGTCTGCTGTTTGTCGCCTCGCTGTGCTCCGCCTTTTCATTAATTATATTGGGAAGGAAGTATTAGGCGAACGCAACGGGCATGAACTTCGCGACACACTTCCGAGACTAAACTTGGGCCTACGGCAAACCTCACGGTCAGCTTACTTACTCAGGCCATCGTCGTCGCACCTGTTGCTATGGCTTCAGGCGTTATCGTGTCTACAGCTAGACGGTGGAGGCCACTACCAGCTTTGAATCTGTCTAGACAGGTAATGTGAATCACAGTAACGGACAGTAAAGTGAGTGCACGTTGCCTAAAAGTACCCATGCTCTATCTGTGGTAGACTTCGGTTTGGCAGGCCTCAGTCCTCCGCTTATTATCCCCGGCTGGGTTTGCGGTGCAGAGAGCATGGGCAAGCGTATCGTTACAATATGGCACTTTTATACATTGATAATAACCACGTACGGCCTGTGCTTCTTTTCCATTCGCCACTCAACCGTTGTTCCTCGATTCTGCTTCATATTCTCAGCGCTAAGTTGCTAAAATATCAGTATCCAACACATCAGAAATCGATTTTTTATTTCACACCTTTTAAAGGTTTCTTTTTTGTTGATACTACTTTTTTGTTCTCCGATTATCAAAATACGTATGAATTAATTAATATGATACGACGCCTCACACGGTTTTTGGAGGCTACCATCGGACTACCAGCAGTACTGGAAATTATTCTGAATACCTGTAATTCTGGGTGTGGATGAGAGGGTTGATATGTTCTCTGAGCTGGACAATTTTCTTTCCGACGTTTCACTGCCAAGTTAGGACACACCCTTAGTGCGGCTATTAGGGTTTGATTCGCAGAACTTCGTAAGCCATTGCCAGATCCAAGTGTATATTGATCGGTTCCTGCTTTGAATGTCAGTCTTCGATTCGCTCACGGTCGATTAAGTGGTCGCGCCTTCGCCCTGTCGATCTGATATTTGTTGTTGTCTAGTTCCAGGTGCTTGTTGATTAAGTTCCGGTTCGAATGCCGGACTTCGATGAACTCACGCGCTCTGCGGTTCGTCGCTCTTCTAATTATTTTGGCGTTTCCCATATCGAACTGATGGCCTTCGACATCCATATGTACTGACATTAGGGACTTTTCATCATGGCGGCGAATGGCCAGACTGTGTTCATGCAGTCTTGTACCAATTTTCCTCCCTGTCTGGCCCACGTAGTACTTGTAGCAATTCTTGCAGCAAATTTTGTAAATCATAGCTGATGCTTCTTTACTCAGCAGAAGCCGATCGATATTCACTGGGATCTGGCAGTGGCTTACAAGGCTCTGCGAATCAAACCATGATAGCCGCACTGATGATGTTGCCTAGCTTGGGAATGAAACATCTACAACAAAATTACCCAGGTCGGAGAACACATCAACCCTCTAACCAACGGTACTCTCATGCTTTGCACTCTAGTTACCCGTTGTGGTTGATCATATTGTCAAATGGAAGCCCTGTCTTAATTGGAGTAACCATACTGTTGGTTTTCAATTCCTGTCCTTCTGCTCGCCTTTGTTTGGCGTTCGAATGTTTTTGCTTTGCTTTTGTTGTTTTCTAACTTTTATGGTGATTCGTGCCAAGGAACCTTCGGTTCTTGTTTCAGTGTTCATAACTTGATTGAGTCTTGAGTAGAGGCGTACTCATTGTTACTCGCTTTCAACACTATAAAACCGAAAATGTGCTCGCTCCTGAGTCGTATCCGATTGGACTCATCATGGTTTGTTTCACAGTAAATTTTGGTCCAGATTGAGAATACTTGTCGCACTCCCGACACACCTGAACCAAATTATATCATGTCTCTGCTTGCACATTTCTGCTTTCTCCTCTCACTGCTCAGTGTTTGCTTTGTGAATTCTTTTGAATTACGTACGGGATGCTTGTGATGTTCGCAATTTTACCCACTCCTGCTGTCTGCTTTTTTCACAGACTGCAAATCAACGCCACTTGACATGTGTTTCAAAATTTGCTATTGTCAGCAACAACCTCGCCAAGTGGCGCAAGTCTTGCTCCGATCAACGTTGTCGCTTTCGAGACCCTACAACCACAACTTGGGAAAAACCTTGTGGTAACTTGTGTCTTCCATTGCTGCCCGTTTGTGCTTATCACTTGGTCCAGTTGAATCCTGCTCCTACGTTGCACGGAGAGTGCCTTCAAAACGATGCGCATAATTATTCATGTTCCACCACTGTAGAACGCATGTCCAATGTTGAACCCGCCTCTTCACTTTCGCCGGAATCGGTCAAGACTGGTACCACTTCTACCGGGGGTGATTCTGCTAAAAGCGCCACGGACAGATCTCAACCACTAACGCGGAGCACGAGAAGTGTCAAAACTGGCCACGTAGAGGCTGTTACCACAAATTCTTGTACCTCTGGTGCCTCCACCACCTTACAACTTCCTATCCAGGCAAGCAAGCATCATACTGCCTTTGATGACCGATGCCTTTGGTGTTGTATCGTATTTTTAGGGTGCAATGGCGCCCATTTTTGTTCTTTGTGACTCAGCCGACACAGCGACAGTGGATCCTGCTGTCCCAATAAAGTACATTGGCCCATTGAAAGGACACCAATGGAATTCTAGCCGGATCGCAGTTACTTTGTTCACCTTGTTCCGAAACTTTGCAAGCGCTTCTGCATAATTACCGTCATGTATATAGTTTACTACGCCTATATCTTGCACGTTAACGGATACGGTGGTTGAATGTAATGACACACATCTGTCATGGTGGTTCTACTAGTAGGCCGGTGGCCGAAAAAGTTACACGCTTGCCTTGTAATCCGGAGGTCACCGGTTCGAGCCCGCGTAGGTGCGAGCGGTCTTCTTGTTTGCCCGCTCCACGCGGCAGTTGCATGACTTCGAAGCTTCGGTGGGGAAGATCGACGTACTGCTTTTGCCCTTACTTTCTGTTCTTCTTTCTCACTGGCTGTTAGCGTAAATTAATTGCACTGATGAATTCAGACTAGAGAGACCTTGCGGTCATTCATGAGCAAGCTATCACAATTCCGATTGGTTCAATGGGTACGGAACCAATAGCGCTGGTACAACTGCTGGAACTACCAAGCCTTTGGACTTCATCCGGTTTATTCCCACGTGAAACTTCGCGTTCTGAAATGAAGCATCGCGTTCCTAGAGAAAAGAAGCTGCATAAACTAATCAGCAATCAGTACTGACTTACCTCAAAACGTATGGCTGTTGCCAAGACATTGCGGGTTCTGGATATGGCCTCCTAAGTGACCATTCAAACGTCGTGGCCTTTTGGGTTTCATTAACCCCTTCTTACACAAAGTGTCCATGTATGCACACGGTTTGGTGAACGTGACTGACGTAGCGCAGACAAACGGGCACCAGTCAGGCTCCTACCACGATTGCTTGAACTGGGGCACAAGATCTTATTGCTTCTACCTAGAGTGAACGAAGCGGTCATGTTATAGACAATGGGGAGCGTACTGACCAGAACATCAACAAGCGAACACCATGTGCGAACTACCAAACCCAGGTTAAGAATACCGGCTGCAGTGTCATCTTATCGACTTTGACTAATCTAGCTCTTTACTTGTATTAGACAGAAAACGAATCAACTGACAAATTATTGGGTTGGACCGGGCGCGTACAAGCCAATGAGCACAGGTGGATGGCATAGTATGTTGCTACGACTACTAATACGTAGGCAGCGCCGCTTGTGCTTGATAAAATCAGCGCGTGGATTCTTCGGAGTTTTACACCGTTTGGCAGGAAACTTGGCACTTGTTCGACTCTAAACGATTTACTTTGATAAACGCTCCTACCATATCTGTTGCTCACTTATCTTGTTTTCCGTTAGCTCTGATATCGCCTTGCTGGGGGATGACCCACAAACCGTCTAGAGCGCTTTGGACCGCTTAACGATGGAGACGTCTAAGTGCGTCTTATACTTCACTACGGGAAAATGTAAAACGCTGCCTCAGGACTGGCAGGCGCCTGAACCCATGCTCACCATTGCTGGACATATTCTGGTGCGAGTTCCTGGCTTTGCTTATCTTGGGAGTTGAATCACTGCTGGTGGCGGTGTTGGAGAAGAAATGTCACAACCAATCACAAAAGTTTGCCTTACGTTCGTTAAACTAATCCACATAGCTTCGTCGTGATGTCAGTCTTAAGCTCAAGGGCAGGGTGTACAATGCTTCCGTCCGTGCAGTACTCTTGTACGGCTGTGAGACGGCCTATCCGCTCGGAAGACAAGAAACGGTTGTCAGTCTTCGACAATCGCTGTCTACGAAGGATTGCTCGGGTGTGGTGGCAAAACCACGTAAGCAACGCAGAGGTCCGAGACCGAGTGCTTGGAGCGAGTAGTGCCAGTCTTCAGAACGATAATCGCCGATATCGCATGTGTTGGCTCGGGCACGTTTTGCACATGTTAGCCCATCGCCTTCCACGCCAAGTGCTATTTGCACTCCCAGGGAGCGATTTAAAAAGTGCCACGGTGGACGACCAACGACGTGGAGAGGGAGCATGGAGAAGGCAACCTCACGTTTAGAGGCAGTCGGACCAGTCCGCCTTCCACGTTGGGGACCACGAGATGCTGAATCTCAGTGGTTGGAAACATTGGGTGACATGGCCCGCGACAGACATCAATGGCGTCGATCTTGTTCTGTCATCTTATCTCCTCTTTAATGCACATAAAAAGCGCATGATACCAAAACCAAAAAACTCAAACTGGCGTATGTAAAACCAAAATTCGTTTCCTTTTTTAATGCATTTATATATATATTATATATATATATATATATATATATATATATATATATATATATATATATATATATATATATAGTCGAACCCGTTTTATTGCTTACCCTCGGGATATTTCAGAGTGGGCAATAAAGCGCGGTAGGAAGTTATTGATATGGCGATTTTTTAAATGGGAAATGAACAATAAATTATTGAACAGTATATCACTTGAATTGTGACGTTCTAAGAAGGATATAAATAGGTACTTTTAACTATAATCTACAGAAGATTGTTCAGGGGAACATGATCTATGCTTCAAAAGTTTTCATTTATAGCATCTTACCTGGATAGCTTTAGAAATTGCTGTTACGGTATATTTCTGCTGAGCAAACAATCCAACTACAGTTGTACGTTATTTTGCGCTGCTACTTCACTCACTTTCACTGATGAAGTCCAAGTTGGACAAGAGATCTTTGCCTATCCCACGCAAAAGTCCTTAGGTATACAGAGCATTCACACCGTTCTTTGTTCCTGCATCCGACACGCGCTTATTGCTGTTACTTACTGATTCATCTGGCACGTCATCCTGAGTCGTTGCCTTCTTTCTTTCCTGGTCGGTTCTCGAAAATTTTACGTACGATTTCATCGTCAAGCGTTGTCAGATCTGAGGTACATTCCATGTCGTTGTCAGTGACGACGAACCGTATTGCATTGGTGACTTGGATTGTGCAAGCGCTGATCTCATCCTCAGCTATGATGGCGTCATCAGAAAGTGCTTCGGATGCAGTCGACTGAAGCTAGAGTATCGAAAGCAAGCTTTTATTGTTGCACTGGTATCCTGTCTCTAACTTTTTGAAACGAACTGAATTGCATGGAGCACAGAAATCTTGGCGCTGACATTTACCGCTGACAATGAGCCAAATGGCACGTTGTTTTCGATGTGATAAAGAATTCCACCCACCATTTCCTTTCTGTAGTTGACATTCAGATTCGTATTCACATCTTGATCCATGCGTTTGACAATCCTGGCCGTGTTCGCAGCCAAATATTCCATTTGATTGTTTTTCAGGCCTCCTATCTGTGGATGCGCTGTGCAATTACCCAAGGGCAACATAATTTTCCGGCCATTTTAGCTTAGCTCCTTGTCCCATTTGAGGGCCCACTCGGTGGGAGGGTTCTTTCGTCATCCGCGTGTTCTTGTTAGCTCTGTAAGTTACAGGAATTCTCTCCACGTTCACGTCATTAAAGCACCATGGTTTCTTACTTTTTCAGTCGAACGAGTTTTCTTTATCTGTGCCTGACATGTTCGCGCATCACAGGGGAGTGATCCTATTCATGGCGTTTTTAATGTAATTCATCATGATCACTCTCCATCAGCAGGCTTTGGCTAGTCTGGGAAAGCAACAGACACAGGCGGTCCGATCTTCTGGGTCTGGTCTGTGGTGTGCCTCTCAGTGGATCCCTGCCGGGTTCCGCCCCCATGACTTCGGGATGCCAACCGCTATCGCCACTACGCAACCCGTGGCAGCGGCGGACCTGCGTGATTGACAGTTGACTATGGTATAGGCTGGCTCATTTCCCACTGTCATGCCAGTTGCGAACTGTGCGGAGGACACTGGCTAGCCCCACGAGCTAGGACTTTCTGTATGGCGCCCTGGCACGACACGAGGACTGAAAAGCTATACTGATTCGAGCTGCGCTGAGCTTGTCAACAACAGAAAACACAAGCGGCCTCTAGAGTTATTCGGTAAAACAGACCTGTTTCGTCTGCATTGTACACGTTGACATCATCAAATGCATTCAAAAGTTTAGGCAGTCGATCTTTCAGGAAATTTTCATAGACCGTTCTGTCTGCGGAACACTTTTCGCCATGCGCACGTTTATACACAACTTTTTTTTACTATTCTTCCGTCTTTGCAACCATCCTTCTGTGGCATCAAAGGTTTTTTCAAGCCTATCCTCGAATACTTCTGTTCTTGCTTCAGAAGCGGGCCTGTAACTTGGTTGTGTTCACGAACCGATATGATCCAGTCTTTACATGCAGTTTCAACTTCTTCAGCCTTTCCATATCTCTTCCCTTTCTGAGAGCGTGCAGTGTCATGCGACAAATTCTGCCGGAGTTCCTTTTCACTGGCAATCAACTTGGCTAGGGTCCGGCGAGAAATGTGTAAATCAGGCGACAAATTGGCCTGCGAGGTTCCTGGTAGATAGGTTTTAATAATATTCAAAATGTCAAGCTTTCTATCAAAGACGACTCCTTTCGGTTACCGGCCATACTTGTGGGTACCCAATAGAGCACTGACAAATGTGGTGCGGAGAGATTATCCGATTTCGCTCAATTCTCAAGTTTTGCATTCGGCCGACGGTTTACCAACAGCCGTAAGTACATTTAGGTTGCCCGTCAATAACGCCGCCGACATCTTTGTTGTTCTTCATTCCATCGAACTGGTTAGCTGTGAGGTAATCGTAATGAAAGATTGTCCGAGCTAGGGTGTAAAATTGACACAGCGACAAGAGCACAGCCTACCCAGCTGGGCAATTACGCGGTGGGAAGACTTTGACATTGGGCAATTAGACGGTAAAAATTTAGCACGTTTACGAGAAAATAATTGTATTATGGAAAATTTGGCAATATATATATATATATATATATATATATATATATATATATATATGAGTCCGTATGAGTCAGATTATATGCTGGACCCGCTGCCTTTCGGGTGTATATTTAATCGGTTTATAAACTCACAGCTCCATTGGCGTAGAGCACGAGCGCCACGCATTGTCTCTGACGGTGGGAGGTCACCTCCAGGTTTTCAATGGTTTGCTACTGCCCGCTTCAAGCCAGGCAGTCGCTAGTGCAAACCCGCCAAAACCCACCTGCGTCTGGCATTGGTCGCAGATGCGTAGCCTATTATGGTCGCAAAACATATATGAATTGTTCCGGTACCTCGAAGACTGCATATGACCGCTGTCAAGCAGATCCCAATCTGTCTCTGCAATCACATTCCCGAGCTGGATCTGCTCCCCACTGCCTTGTGGGTCAGGCTGTTGAGCCAAAGACTCCGAGTGGAGTCCCTCAAGGAAACCTCCGAAGCACAACCGCCATCTCGTATGCGATTGCCCACCAATGCAATCGTATACCTGCACGCGAAGCACTCAGCATCGGGTGCTTTAATGTGGGCACTCCGCTGGGTCGGAACTCGCGTGAGCGCCCCGAGCGACGCACTGTACTTGTCGCGATGGAACTGGCGCGCTCCAGCATCGATATTGCGGCGCCCAGTGAGACCCGACTCGCTGAGCAAGGCAAGTTGCATGAAGCAGGTGCTGGCTACACATTCTATTGGGTGGGCAACGCCGCCTCAGCACCACGTGATCATGGGGTCGGATTTGCAATATCCGATCGCCTCCATGGCCACCTGGGTGAACCAACAGGCATCAGCGCGCGACTGATGACTGTTGGCCTACGACTCGGAAGAGGTAAGTTTGCCACTTTTATAAGCACGTACGGTCCGATCATGTGGTATCCTGATAACATGAGGGATCAATTCTACACTGAGCTATCCTCCGTGCTACGGTCTGTGCCGAGGAACGATCGACTATATCTGCTGGGTGATTTCAACGCGCGCGTTGGACGTGATGCATCGGTGTGGACAGATGTTATCGGTCCGCATGGCATTGGTTCAGCGAATGCAAACAGTGACAGGCTACTCTCACTGTGTGCCACTCACGACCTGACGATCACGAACCCTCGGTTTGCACTGAGTGCGAGTGATATAGCAACTTGGACGCACCCACAGAGTGGTCACGCTCACCTGCTCGACTATGTCATCGTACGTCAGTGTGATATTCATGAAGTGCGCATGACAAGTGTACTACGTGGAGCTGAGTGTGGCACTGATCACAAATTGATGCGGACCAAACTGTCCATATATTTTCGGAAATCTATGTTTTCCACTACCGCCGTGAATCGGCGTAAATGTAACATTCTCTCCCTCGGTACTGGGGCGAGACGTACTGAGCTGGAGAAGGCGATGGATGCACGCCTGTGTGCTGTGGACTGCATAGCCACAGTAGGCGACCTGTGGCCCCACATTCGCGACCAGGTGACAGCTGCTGGAGACCAGGAGACCATCGGGCGCGCAAACTGTAAGTGGCCTGACTGGGTTGATGACAACAATGCGACGATTGGCGCATTGGTGTCGGAGAAGAATGCAGCATTTGCTGCACATGTCGCAGACCCCAGTGACTTGGGAAAGTGTAGTCAGTTTCGCAAACTTCGACGGCGACTGACCCGAGAGCTCCGTCGCATAAAAATGCATGGTGGACGGAGAAGGCGAAGCAGATGGAATGCTACGCCGGACGCCACCAACCCAAGGCATTTTTTGATTTCTTTAGGGCGGTGTATGGATCGAGGTTGGAGTCGGTGAGGACGCTGATCAATGGTAGCTCATGCGCTACCTGCACACAGACTGCAGACATAATGCAGATCTGGCGGAAACACTTCGACTGTCACTTGAACAACCGTTCAGAGATTGATTGGCCTACATTGAACGGCCTTTAGCAGCACGATGTGAAGGAGAGTCTGGCGGACACGCCGACACTGGATGAGACGCAGAGAGCATTTGCTCAGCTGCGAAACGGCAAGTGTGCCGGGGCCGATGGGATGCCGTCTGAAGTATTGAAACACGGCGGACCCGCGTTGGTGACTGTGCTGCACCACTTGGTGCAACGCGTGTGGGTTGAGGAGGAGGTGCCTCCTGTGTTGAAGGATACCCTTGTGCTGCTACTGTACAAGGGCAAAGGTAGCAAGCAATGTTGCACGAATTATCGTGGCATCAACTTGCTGAGTTGTGTGGGCAAGGTGATTGCCCGAATCCTGCTCAAACGCCTCGTCAGTCAGGTTGTGGAACCTAACGTGGCGGAAGAGCAGTGTGGATTCCGTTCGGGTCGCTATACTATAGATGTGGTGTTTGCGCTCGTCAGGTGCGGGAGAACTGTAGACAGCGACAGTAGCCTTCGGATTTGCTGTTTGTTGATCTTACCAAAGCATTTGATACAGTGAACCGCGAGGCATTGTGATTGGTGCTTGGTAAATTTGGTTGTCCAAGTTAGTTTAATTGTATGTCTGCACAATGGTATGCGGGCGAGGGTGCTGCTGAGTGAATAGACCTCGGATGACTTTGCAGTTGTCTCTGGTGTGAAACAAAACTGTATCTTAGCTCCTGCTCTGTTTATTATTTATCTCCATGCCATGATGTCTTGTACCTTCGAGGAGCTGTTCCGTGCAGTCGGTGTTTAGCAGGCTCCGATGCAGCCACTGTGTTGTGTGCGCTTGTTTCCCCAAATACAGCGTGCTTGTGTTTGCCTGTGAAGGTGTGAGGGCTGGCTCCGTTGGTGAAAAGTGCCTCCCATCCACTTGCCTCCCGGTCTTATTCCTTCTGGTGGGCACTAGATATGGGTGTGTGTTTATAGCTGTTGGTGGGGCAGCTCAATCATATATATATATATATATATATATATATATATATATATATATATATATATATATATAGTTCTGCTTTACACCTTTGATTGTGCTACATTGAAGATTTTGGGTCATTTGCGTCGTCACTTACGCTCTACCTGACATTTATATTTCCTGTGTTCAGAGCGGTTGATTCCGTATTAATATGCGAAAACTGGTTTAAGCGTTTGGCCGAATGATATTTATGGGATTCTAAGTTAACTTTTTCAGTACTGTCATGAGTAACGATGATGCTGCTCAGTATCGATGTTCTAGCTCCAACTCTTTTGTACATAACCAATGTGCAGTCTGCATAGTACATCTTCAGTCCCCTGAGCTCGCTGCTAATTATATTTGGTGCTCCCGAATACTTTTGCAATCCGGCATGGGAAATTCTGTTCACTTAATCTGACGTTTTCCCTCTCTTTCCTGGTAAACTTGTAGGTCACTTCTTTTTATTGGTTGCATTTGGATGTGTCTGAAAAGGAAAACTGCGCGCTATTCTCTACATCTGCTCAGTCAGTTGCATCCATTTCGCTCTCTATTTCCGTGCAGAATGCCGATTTGGTTGTCAAACCCGAGAAGAACCGTAAGCAGAACACTTAGGGTGAACAATCGTTTTTTATTTCTTCCTCATCGGGCCTAGTCCAAAAATATTCTTCCGAACAAGTAGGTTTTTGGAACAGCATAGTGACACACCAT